TTTTCCCTTTTTTTCACAAAGGATTTGGTCATCATTACCTTTAATGCTTTACTACTACTACCTTCATCAACTCAATGACGATATATATTTCTTTTATAAAGGAAAAAAAGGAAAGAAAAAAGGAAAAAAAAATTTTTTAAGGAAACCATTGAGACCATATTAAATCGGTAAATAGCGAAAAGCGGATAATCCATGATTTCCCACAGGATTTAAGGACTGCTGCGGTTGTTGTTGTTCCTGTTCTCTTGAATAGCAGTATTCTTCTTCACGATACAAAGCGTTTTAATAAAAAAAAAAATTTTTTAAATGAATCATTCATCTTTTGAATTTATTTCGTTATTATATATCTTTTAATATATATACCCATTTGAAATTTAATTGAACTTAAATACATTTTAAATAATATATAAAAAACCTATCATTTAAGAATTTCAACTCGATTTCATATCTGACTCATGGTTGAATGGGCTTCATGAGCTGTCTATTTTCTGATGAATTCAGATTCGTTTTTTATCTTTCTCTCTCTCTCTCTCTCTCTCAAACTTTATATATTTATCTCTCTCTTTTTCTATATTTTTTTCTTTTTTTTCCCGTTGAAAGCATTAGCAGATATTTTACAGATATGAGAAGAAAAACCTTACTTTTTCTTTCCTTTTTCTTTTTTTTAAATGGGTTTTTTTTTCTTTTCTTGACTTTTCTTCTACTTTTATTTTTTTCACGCTTCACCGATATCATTCGGTTATTTTATTTTTTTTTTTGGGGGGGTTTTCAAAAAAAAAAACCTTTTTTTATAAAAAAAAAAAGGGGGGAACAAAAATTTCTATTTCATTTACACCCATTTGAAAAGTTTTTTTTTTTTTTTTTTAAATGCGTCACGCATATAATTTTAATTTTATTAATTCATTCAATCATTCACTCATTCACTCACTCATTCATTCACTCATTCATTCATTCACTTATGTTAATGACGTAAAAATAATTCCCTTCCTCCCCCTCGACAACAACAATCATTCACACAAATATTTTAAATTAATAATTTTTACAAAAACGTGGCAGTAGAAATTTCAAAAAAAAAAAATGACAAAAGTAAAAATATTTAAAACCACGATGAAAATTATAGTTTAAACCACGACAATGTGGGGAATGGGAGGGGCTGGGGAAGAGCGTTTAGTAAATTTAAATACATTCAAGGAAAAGGGGGTTGAATTTTTCCAAAAAAAAAAAAAAATTCCGGTTTCGTTTATACATAAAACCCATATTATTATTATCATTATCATTATCATCATTATCATTCATAGCACGCAATCACTTAATTATTATTATTATTACGATAAAAAAAAAAAAAGTCGAAACCGTCGTCGTTTGCATCAATTACCACCATCCCCACACGATTTTACACGTTTTAAGAAATTTTTTTTTTTTTTTTTTTTGGTTTTAAACCGGAAATAATCCTCGTGATGACGTCATTCATAGAATTTCTACTCGGTAGTAAAAGAAAGAGAGAAAGAAAAATGCAACATATAAGAAATTTGATAGTAAAAAGATTTTCTTTTTTTTCTCTTGATGACAAAGTTAAGAGTTGACAACATGATTGCGAACCGTTAAAAGCTTTGCTGTTAAGAAAAGAAGATGGGATGATGATGATGATGATGATGATAATGATGAAGAGCTTTTAGATAATAATGAAGACTGATGATCAGTCCACTTGAATTAGTTTTTAGTTTTTTTTTTTTTTACCCTAAAAGGGTGGTTTTTTTGTCTTCCTTCCACCCCTTTCGTTAATTTTTACGCAGGACTAACCGACGGGAAATGGTTATTTTAAAAAAATGTCGTTTGTGTTTTTTTTTTTTAGTTTTTTTTTTTTTTTATGGAAATAAAAATGAAGAAAAATGAATAAGAAAAGGAAATGAAAGGTTTCGAAAAGGATCCCGTCGCGTTGAAAAGGTTTTTTCTAAATAGAAAAAGATGAATCGGGATTTTATGTGATGGGATTTCATCATGAGAGATTTTAAAGGTTTGAGTTAAAATGACCATTCAATCGACCGAACCCACCGTTATTTTTCTTCTTACACGTCAATTTTTCATTGTCCTCTTTTTCACCCCCTCCCCCTTCCCTCCCCTCTCTTTCAACATTTTTTCGAAATCGAACGAAATGATTTTTTAACGTTGCTCCCTTTTTTTTTTTTAGTTTAAAAGTTATTCTTCCACGACGACGAAAATTTTTTTTTTAAACTCCATCATCATCATCATTTCCGCACGATTTCAATTCGGTTATTTCGTACCCCCTCTCCTCACCCGCCTCCCTCGCGTTTCCCTTTTTTTCTTAACCGTAAACACATTTGTTAAACTGGTCACCACTTAGCTTAATTGCTTTTCAATTGTGTCATTCCTAGGGTGGAGAAGGGAGCCGATGGGGGCTTCCCCGAATTCGGTAGAGGCGGAGAAGTAAGGGGAGGGGAGGGGAGGGGGGAGGCGCAGTACCCGAAGGGTAAAAATGTTTTAAATTTGAGCTTTTAAATTAATTGCTTTTGATTACTAAATCTTTTGTTTAAAAACTTTCTTTCTCTCTCTTTCTCTTTCGAATAATTAAAAATTTTTTTATTTTTTTTTTAAATTTCAAATTAATTTAAATGTAAATTAATGATAATAATAATAATAATAATAATAATAAAAATCTCGAGTTTTTTTTTTTTTAAAGTGTTTGTTTAAGAACGACAGCATAAAAAAAAAATGAAAGATTTACCTTAAGCGTTGAAAAACGATTTCGGATTGAATCGAGAAAGACAAATAAAGAAAAAAAAAAAGTTATTAGTTGTATCTTGAAATGACCCAAGAGAATTGAAAGAAGATATTGAAGATGATGAGGGAGGATTTTTTCGTTTGTTTGTTTGTTTGTTTGTTTCCTCCCTCCCTTCCTTCCATCCATCGATTCTACTTTTTCCTCTTACGGTTACTACCGTATATAAACTATAGAAAAGTTTTGAATCTTTCACTTCTGCTCCTTTCATCATTCCTACCACCACCACCGCCACCACCGTCGCCTCTTATTTACTTTGCTCCTTTTTTTCATTCCCGTTTTGTTTGTTTTATTTTCAGCTTAAGGTTATAAACGTTTTTCGAAGTTAAATTAAAAATCATTCTAATAAAAAAAATTTTTTTATCTTTACTTTATTTACTGTAGAAAGTTACAAAAAAATTAAAATGAAAAAATCAAACTCCCCTCTTTCTTTTTCCTCCTCCTCCCCTTTCCCCTCGATAAATCGTTTTTCATTTCGAAATAAACAACCGGGGAAAAAAAAAAAAAAATAACTTGTATATTTTCAAATATGGTAAAAAACAATCGGTTGAATTGATTTTAAATCGTTTTTAAACCCTCCCCTCACCCCTCGCCACCCCTTCGAATATCCTTTTCAAAGAATGATTAAAACTACCCGAACGTGCACTAAAGAAGGGGGGAGAGGGAGGAAGGAGTGGGGACGAGGCAATAAAAAACGATAAAGTTTAGGTGAGAATTCCCCGGTGAACAACCTGTTGAGAATTTAGCTCTGAAACATCAGAAGCATTGATTTTACCTTACACCCTACGAAAAAAAAAAATCAACCCTTAGCTTAGGGATGGTAGGGTGGTAATTCAAGTATTCGAAATTGCATTTTTTTTTTTTTACCTGTTGAAATTTTTATTGATTTTTTTTTCGAGCGGGCTATCGAAAACGAAAAAAAATTTTTTTTTCTTTTTAAGGGTAGTTCTTAAGGGAAGAAATGAAATTTTTGGTCTAGAACCACGTAAAAAGAAAATTCGATGACGTTTGAATAAAGAAATTAAGATGTGATGAAATTGATGGACGGAGAGAGGTGAAAAAGTAGAAAACCAAAACATGAGAAAAGGGTTGAAATAAAATGGGGTAGGAGAGAAATTTCAAATGGGGTTGATTTTGAAACATCAAACCACTTTTTTTGGAAAATTTAAAATTTACCACGGAAAATACCAAAAAAGAAAACAACAACAACAACAAGAAAACTATTTTTAAACTGTTTGTTCAGAAATCTAAAAACTTTTTCCTTGAAATCACGTAAAAAAAAAAAAAAGATTTGAGAAAAATATAAAAACTACAAAAAGAAAATGTTTGTGGGGAGTTAGGGGGTGGTTGGGGATTGGTGGTTGAATAGATGGCTTTGAAAAAATTTTCTTCTTTTTCTTTTTCTTTTTCTTTAGCTATTACAATGATTGATCTGGAACAAACAATAGTCAGCCGCCATTCTTTTCAAGTCATTTCAATTCTTTCCTTGTTTTTCTTCTTCTTCTTCCAGATTTTTCCTTTTTTTTTTTTTTTTTAATTTTTATTAGTTTTTTCCTCTTGGATGAATAAACCGTTCGATATTTTCCAAACTCGAGAGAGAGATGAGAATGGTGGGAAAGTGCGTGTACGTTCAAAGAAAAAAAAAAGAAAATTTCAAAAAGTACGTTTCGAGTACTAATTGTTCTATTACGAATGAAAATGACATTTTCAACGACTTGCATTCATTCTCATTCATTCATTCATTCATTCATTCATTCGTTCGTTCATTCATTCGTTCCTTCTCTTATTTATTTATTTCTTTCATTTTCTTCTCTCTTACATTATTATTTTCCTTTTTTCCTTTTTTTTTCTTCAATTTTAATTAATTCACACTTTAATTGAAAAAAAAAAAAATTTCATTTCACTTTGTAAATAATAATAATAATAATAAAAATTTCAAGAATGTTCGAATTCAATAAAAGGAATAAATAAAAAAAAATGGTAAGATGAAGAAACTCTACCGGATAAAGAAGAAAAAGAAGAAGAAGAAGAAAAGAGGAGAAAAAATTAATTAAAAAAAAAAATTTTTACAAACTTTGACGTCAAAACGGTCTCGATTTCCAACCTTTATACCTTTTTATCATTTTAAATTGATATTGTTATTTATTATTATTATTATTACATTTTTTCCAGAAATAAAAAAGAAGGTTATGAAGAATTTGAAATGCCGGCACAAAATAAAAATTTAAGAAACGTACAACCGACTTTGGTACTCGGCGGAAAACAATATTCAACCGAAATAAGACTCGAAGATTTGGACGATGAACTTCCGGAACCGGAAAGGCCGCCATTGAGATTGATCGATCGATACGTAAAAGCCGAATGCCCTTGTTTGAGTCAGAGATATACTGTTGCCGTTTTAACTTGTTTGGGATTCGTCATTTCTTTCGGTATGAGATGCAACATGGGAATGGCCAAATTACAATTCGAACATTACGTAAGTATTAAAATTCAGAAAAACTCGAATCGATCGGAAGACATTTTTTTTTAAAGATTGTATACATATAAAGGGAAGAAAAAGAGAGAGGGTGGGGGTGAGTGGGGGTACGAGGGAATGGGGAGGGGGAAGGAAGAAAGATGCAAAAGTGAAATCACACACAGAGAAGAAGAAAAATAATAATAATAAAGAGTTGATTGTGTGGAACCCTTGGATTTTATAAAGGAGCTATAGAATATGGCGACGGAAAAGAGAGAGAGAGAAAGGGGGGAAAGAGAGAAAGACGAAGGAACTCTCTAACTTCCGGTTTTACTTTTCAATAAGAATAGGTCTCGGAATTGAGGAAATCAAAATGCTTTAACTTGAAAAAAGAGGGAGAGAGGAAAAGGACCGACATTACTGTTGTGATATTTCATATTGAGCAATTTATAATGTGTCAGAGTAAAAAAATTATTCACTTCCGCTTTTCCTCCTTTTCTTTTTTTTTCTTCACCGAATTTTTTAAGAATTTTCATTTCCGTTTTATTTTTTTGCAGGATAACAGCTCGATAAATTTTGACGATGTTAAATTTAATTGGTCCGTCGGTGTGGAAAGCGCAGTGGATTCATCATTTTTTTGGGGATATTTAATAACGCAAGTACCCGGTGGATTTTTAGCATCTAAATACCCGGCAAATAGAATATTCGGTACGGCTATTGCCACGTCATCATTTTTAAATCTTCTCGTACCGGGTGCAATAAGCATACATCCGACGATAACAATACTCGTGAGAATATGTCAAGGATTAGTTGAAGTGAGTAAAAAAAAAAAACAGGAAACGGAAATCGGGAAACGGGATGTGTTTTCTGGATTTGAAAATTTTTTGTGGAAAATTTTTTAACAAAACTAAATCCGACAGCAATTTAAAATTGAAAAAAAAGAGAATAACAATAAAAAAAAAATAATTGAAAGTCATTTTTTTTTTTTAAGACTTCATAAATTCATCTTAAATTTCAAAAAAGAAAAAAAATTTTTTGTTTTAAAGAAGAGAGAGAGAGAGAGTGAACGATTTAGGGAGAAATGAGAGAGAGAGAGTGAATGAAGGAGAGGGGAAAATTTTTTTTATTTTTTATTCTCGTTTCGTTTTTTTTTCTTTTGCACGGACAAGTTTTATTCGATAAAAAAAGAATTTTCCTTTTTTTACTCTTGATGACGTAATGAAATAAAAAGAAAAAAATCTGGAGAAAATTTTTTTTTATTTGTTTGTGTATCGTTATCATAAATTGTTTTTCTTTTTTTTCAAAGGGTGTTACATATCCCGCCTGTCATGGAATTTGGAGATTTTGGGCGCCACCATTAGAACGTTCGAGATTAGCAACGCTCGCATTTTCCGGATCTTACGCAGGTGTCGTTTTAGGTATGCCATTATCAGGTTTATTAATCGGTGGTATAGGTTGGCAAGCTCCTTTTTATTTTTACGGTAAGTATTATATTGGTTTCCTTTAAGTTTTTTACAAGAATGCCAACAAAAAAAAAACAAATTTGTTTTTAGGTGTTGTCGGTTTGCTTTGGTATTTGTTTTGGCTTTGGTTAACATTTGAAAAACCCTGCAAACATCCGACCATCAGTGCTAAAGAATTATATTACATAGAACAATCTTTAGGTTCGAGTACTCAAGTAGCTATGCCAACAATATCTACGACACCCTGGAAAAATTTTTTCACATCGACTCCAGTTTATGCTATTATAATAGCTAACTTTTGCAGATCGTGGAATTTTTACTTATTAGTTTTGTTCCAGGCAAAATATTTACAAACTTGTTTTAATTTTCAAATCGAAGAGGTAATGAATGATATAACACTTCCCCCGATGGAACCCCTAACCTTTTGTTTGAAAATAAACGACTCCTTTTTTACTTAAACCTTTCAGACTGGTTTTGTCGGTGCTTTACCACATCTACTTATGACCATGATTGTACCCATGGGTGGATTACTCGCTGATAACATAAGAAAGAAAGGCATATTATCGACAACGGCAGTTCGAAAATTATTCAATTGCGGAGGATTCGGAATGGAAGCATTGTTTTTCGTTGTTGTTGCTTATGCAAAAACTGCAATGGCGGCAACGGTTGCTTTAACGTTCGGAGTTGCATTTTCCGGGTTTGCCATTAGCGGTTTTAACGTTAATCATTTGGATATTGCTCCTAGGTATGCAAGTATTCTCATGGGTATGTCTAACGGAATTGGAACTATAGCCGGTTTGATTTGTCCGATAGCGATTGATAACATAACTCGACATCACGTAATAATATTTTAAATAAAATTATTTAAATTTTCTTTTTTTTTTTTTTAAATTTATAAAATAAATTTTATATATAAATTTTTTTTAGGATTGTCCAAGTTGGAAAACCGTTTTCATACTTGCTGCAACCGTACATTTTGTCGGTGTGACGTTTTATGCAATTTTTGCATCGGGAGAGTTACAACCCTGGGCAGAGCCAACACCAGAACAATTAAAAGCTTGGGAAGAAGCTGCAACGGGTAACAAATCTCAAATTGTGCGACCTCCTCCACCCAGACCTCCAATTCCAGTACGTAGTATTATTCATTACAATTTAAAAATAAAAACATTCATCTTTTAACCGATTTTAAATAATTTTTTCATTTTCCAGGGTGAAAAAACAATAGAAACTCAATTAACAAATACCTTACCTCAACAAAATTATGGAGCCACAGAACCATCAAATCCTTCAAATCCATTTAGAACCGGTGGTGGTGGTGACGCGAACATTGTCGGTAACGAATGGGGTGACGAACAAAAATACATTTCACCAAGTCAATTAGAATTTACTCGACAGAGTCAATATACAGATGTGACCGGAAGTAGAATTTTACCTCCGGGTACAAATCCATTTACTTACACTAATACATTTATTGCCGAAGAACCAGTTCAACCCGAACCCCAAGATCCTTATTTACATGGTACCATGTCCGATAGAGCTTATTAATTTAATTTTTTTTTTTTTAAAAAAAAAAACCATAAAGAAAAGTCTGACTTCTGTTATTTTCGCTTCTACTCGCGCCCTGCCCCCCCCCTACCTCCCTCCCTAATTATTTACACATAACCAACAACACTGTATCACTTAACACATTATCCAATTGTTCATCGAATCAACTCATAATAATAAACTATAATTTTATTCACTTTTTAATTTTTTTTCAAACTAAAACTATTATTAATAATAATAATAATAATAATATTTATAGGAAAAAAAAAAAAAAACGTTCAGGAATTTTTCTGAACAAACTATGTATCTCTGGCAATAAATATATATATATATATATATATAAAAACAAATTTTTGTACCTACCGAGAAGCGTCCTATAACGTCACTGAAAACCATAATTTCGTCACAGGTTAATTAACAACACCCTCCAGCGGAAAATTTTGAAACTATTTTCAATAACAAAAACAAAATTTTTCCCCTCCCCTTCTCTCGCTTCATCATTGTAAATAATTTTGTTCAGACTTTTCAAATTGTTACTATTATTATTATTATTATTATTATTTTTATTGAATTTTAAATAAATAAAATTTTATTTAGAGGTGATAATAAGTTAATCGATCAATTATTAGCTGTTAAATGTTTATTATTATTATTATTATTATTACTTTAATTAATGGTCGTTTTTATGTACATAATTCTTTTTTTTTATTTTTTAACTATTACAAATAAATAAATAAAACACGTTACGAACTTTCGTTCGACCTGTGAGTGATTTATTAAGTAATAATTATTTATAATATTAATAATGATAATAATATTTTTATTTATTTATTTGATTTACATAAAATTTAAATTTTATTTGATTTTTAAAATTTTAATAAAATTTTAATAAATGTGATCTATCGTTTATCGATTTTAAATTGTTTACTATTAAACGATATTAATAATAATAATAAAAATAATAATAATAATGATAATATTTACGTTAATAAATAAATAAATAAATTTTAAAAAATTTATCAATGTTGCTCGTATTTATTAAGTTTTAAATGAAAAAATAAATAATATATATATAAATTAATGTTATCGTGATTATGATGATGATAATAATAATAATTATTAATATTAATATTATCATTATCGTTTTTATTAATAATAATAATAATAATAATAATAATAATAATAATAATAGTGTTGTTATCGCGGCGCTCACTTGAAATAAGTTTTTAAAAAAAAAAAAATTATTATTATTTTTTTTTTATATTATTAAGTCTACTCTCAATAAATAAATTTATTTATTATATTAATTAAATAATTTTTCGTTTATTAATAATCATAATAATAATAATAAGTAATAAAACGGTTAATAATGTATTATTGAGGTTGAAAAAACCGTTTTAATAAAATATTTTTAAAAAAATAATTATTAATTGTAAGTTTTTAAATATTTAAAAAAAAAAATTTATTTTATTAACAAAAAAAAAATAAATAAATAAATAAAATAAAATTTTATTAATTGTATGTAATTTAACGTTATTATTATTATTATTATTATTAATATGTAATTGTTATGTAAATTCAGATGCCGTCGGCGTCGACGCCGACGGTATTTCAACGTTTTATTATTATTATTTTCGTAAATTTTCTAACATTATTATTATTATTATTTATTTATTTATTTTTATTATTATTATTATTATTTTTATTATTTAACCTTAATACTTTGAACCGCGTTCTGCTGGAATCAGAAACGAAAAAAAAAACGTGACATTATCAAATTTTTTTTTTTTTTTGAAGGTTATTTAAAAGTTACCACCGAATTTATTATTATTATTATTTTATGTTAATATGTTTTTGATTTATGTACATATGAACGTTTAATGTTAAGTAATAATTAATTAATTTTTTTTTTCGTCGTAATTAAATTTAATAAAAAAATCTCTTGAGATTAAATCTCAAAAGGCTGTGTTGACAATAATTCACTTTAATATAATTTTAAGTTAATAATTAGCGAGTAATTAATATTAATATTAATTAATTAATTATAAATAATAATGATAATGATAATAATGATAATTTAGTGTTTAGGATAAGGCAATAAACGTTTTCGAGAAAAAAAAAACAAAAAAAAAATTATGTAATAATTGTCATTTTAAGTTTTTTTTTTGTTTTTTTTTTTTAACTCGAACCGTAAAATTTTAACGACGTGAGTGTTTCCATCGATCGATCAATCGATTGATCTATCGATTGATCGATTAATTAAGATTTAACGTTACGCAATTCTGGAAAATTCTTTAAGTTTCTTTATTATTATCATTTTTTTTTTTTTTTTGAAATAATAAACAAACCGCGTTGAATTAACAAATAAACAGGTCGCAAAAGGTCGCGACGTTTCAAATCGATTAATAATAATAACAATAATAATAATTAATAATAATAATAATAACACTTTTTGTCGCGTACGCATCGTATTCACGCGCACGCACTCCACAAAAACCCTCCTGATTGATTAATATTTTTTATTTTTTTTTGTTTTATTTTAAACAATTTATTAACTTATCAGCCATCCCTCCATAATTATTATTATTAAAAAAAAATTTCGAGTTAATTAACTAACTTATGTATTTTACTTACACGCATTTTTTATCGTTTTAATAATTTTTGTCTTCTGCTTTTTTTTTTTTTTTTAATCCTAAACAAATCCTCGATGCTATAAACAAATTATGTAGTATTTCAAATAGAGACCTATTTATTTTATTTATTTATTTCATTAGACATATTAATTAATAAATAGTATTTTCTCTACTTATTTATACTTATTATTAATTAATAAATTTTTTTTTTTAATTTTATGTATCAATAAAAAATAAATAAATAAATAAACTTAGTTAAAATTTAAAAACAACAAAATCACAAATCGCTGTGCTTCTATTAAATATTATAATAGATTATTATTATTATTATTATTATTATTATTAATTTTAATAATTAATTAATTTTTATGTAATAAAGCGAACCTTTTTATTTAAATAATATAAATAAGTAAATAAATAAGTTCTGTATCATAGAAAATATTTTTAAGTTTTTTAATTAGCTTATCGGTAAATAAAATAAGTAATAATAATAATAATAATGTTATTCGTGTTTATTAACAATACTACTACTACTACTATTATTAATGATAATAATGATTAAATTAATTAATTATTAACGTAGTTATTTGTTTAGTTAAAATAATAAATAAATAAATAACTGTGATGACTTTATCGTGAATAAATTCATTTACCTTTTTTTTTTTTTTTTAAATGTTTAAATAAATAATTCTTTTTCGAATACATAAATAAATAAATCATTTATGTATTTTACCATTGACTATTTATTATTATTATTATTATTATTATTATTATTAAAATTAATTTTATTTGCCTGAAACAAAAAAAAAACGAAATAATTTTTGATTCGAAAAAAAAAATATAAACGAAAATTATTATTATAATTTTTTTTTGGTTTTACCTTACGTGAAAAAAAATTATTAATTAATTATTTTATTAATAAATAAGTCACGAAATTAATAATAAAAATAATAATAATAATAATTAATTTTAAATAATGTACACTTGTTATTAATTAGGCACTCTGTTTATCATGAAAAATGTAAAAAAAAAATGATAAATAGTTTTAATTATTATTATTATTATTATGAGTAATTTATTATTTTTATTACTTTTTTCGTGTATTATAATTTTATTTATTTGATCACGTGATAATTAAAAAAAAAAAATTTTTCTTTTTATTATTAATTTTTTTTTTTTTTCCCCACTTTCTTATTCTTTCCTCGAACATGTGAATGTTGTATATAAATTGTAGCAAATTTAATTTTCGTTGAAAATATTATTAAATAAATATTTATTGATATTATTAACTTGTGTATTTTATTATTATTATTATTATAAACTTAATTTTTTTAAACATTCACCGCTTTTTTTAAAAATTTGTTTTAAATTGAAATTTTTTTTTTTTTTAATAATTTACAACATGCGAATAAATTAAACGCGAGTTATATATATTTTTTGATGACGTCAGTGAATACGTCATCGATTTTTTATAGGATCGATTGAATTCTCCGACAAAAAAAAAGAAAAATTTTCATTTAAAATAAATATGTATTGAAGACAAACAAAAAAAAAAGGTCGCACGTTGTACTTTGGATATTTTTACATAACGAATCACAGCATTTTTTTTTTTAAACAAATTTGGTAATTGAGCTTCGTTTAAATTTTCTTCTTCCACTTTAAAAAAAAAATGTTCGATTAATAATCGATCGAATAAAAAATTTTCCTTCTCAAAATGACACTTTAAATTTTACTAAAATAAAATTTTTATTTTCTATAAATAGAAGAAAGAGAGAGAAAAAAAATCACTACTACCGTCGCGTTATAAATAATTACGTAATATTTATATATATATAATTAAGAAAAATAGGTAATAAAAAAAAACTACGTAAGTAATAATAATAATAAACTTTTTAAAAAAAAACAAAATGGCTTTTAATTTCGTCTTAACCTCTTCGGTTTAGCTCTTTTATTTTTAGCTGTTCTACTATCACCTTCCGTTGGACGTTTTTTTCCTGGAAAACCTTGAGCGTATGGCTTACGTGCATTTGTTGTCAAATAATAAATTCCTCGCGCGCTGGAAAATTTTTTATCAGTAAAAAAAACGATAATAAAATTTATTGTTTTTTTTTTTAAATTACGCGGGTGTACTCACGTCCAGGGTGCATGTTCTCCCATGATAACATAATCTTCATCCCTTGTCGGACATAATCCTAAAGAATACATAAATCTATTCGGACAAGGCGATGCCCAAAATCCTATAGGACTTATTATCGATTCGATAAAAAATGGCGTCACTCTCGTGTGATCGCATGCCAGAGTTTCTTAAAAACGATAATAATAAATAAATCATAATTTATTATTTAATAAAACATAAATAAATAAATCGTGAAATTATCTCACAAATTTGTGAAATTTTGAAAGTTTTTTCAACAACAACAACTTTTTCTACTAAAAAAATTTTTTTTTTCTAAGGGTTTATTATAATGGACGTAAAAGTTGTTTTTGAATTTAACAAAAAAAAAATTATTTTTTTTTTAACACTCACTTAAAATCGTACTCGATTGACAACCGGGTTGACTACTTCCGCCGTTAAAATAAAAATCAGCGTGACCGTTGGGTCCCCATTGTCCTAAAACTCCAGCTCCAGTGTGTAAAACATCAACGAAATGCGCATCGGTCGGATCCAAATCTCTCGAACGATTATTTCCCATGTAAAATATAATCGTAGGATCCAAACCTAAAATTTTCATAATTAAATTTTTCCGCTTTCGACTTCCGGTTTAACCGACTCATTCATTCATTCATTACCAGTTATTCTTCCCAGTTTTCCAAAACTTATGTGATTTGCAACGAGTCCTGCCATGTGTGCTCCCACGCTATACCCAATCAAATGAAGTTCGTGGGGTTGTACTCCTCTCGGATGTACGGCCAAATAATCTACGAGTTGTGCAACACATTCTGCACAAAATCTCGGCGACCATTCGATTTGACTTAGGCAAGGTTCTTTTGCCAGAGTTCCATAGTCGACGATGATCACGTTGTATTCCCCGTAAGAAAAATAAGCTGGAAAAAAAAATGATTGTTTTTTTCTCACCCTTATCACGTGACTTATCATTTAAAAATCATGTTTGACCCTTCTTACCCTTTCGTATGTTGGGACTCGGTATTAAATTTCTACCACCTCCAAAACCGTGTATTATTATTTTAGTCGGATGGAGAGCGTTAAATTTCGAATTGTATAATGAATTTATATCCGTTACATCGAGAAGTTCTCCTTCTTCTTGTGTTTGTCTTTTGAAACAAACAAACAAACAGAGATTAATTTGATGATTTAATCAAATTTTTTAAAAAAATAATTTTTTTTTACCTCGTATACAGGAAGAATTGTATTCGCCTGTGGGGGCATTTAATGGGTGGTTCAACGCAACTCGTTGTGTTGTATAAATCTTGAACGGTTTGTGGTTTTTTTTTCGTCGTGCCATTAATCGAATTATCTTGTGGACTTTCTTCCGCTTCGAAAAATTCTAATCCTAAAAACTGGCCGTCTATACATGAACAAAAAAAACGTTAAATTAATCTAAGCCAAAAATTAATAATAAAAAAAAAACACCCTTGAGCTTGATTATTGTGTACATGTAATAATAATCATATAAATTACGTAATAAAATTTCTTTTTTTTGTTCCAGAAGGAAGGACTTTTCGTAGACTTGACCGACGGATATACCTAACAAACCGTGAACCTGTCTTGAATGTTTTTCCACCAATCTTGAATGAATTTAAATAAAATGATTTTTTATTGCGTAAGTTTAATTTTCTTTTTTTAAATTTAATCGAGAAATTAAAAAATCCTAATCGAACATTCCAGAATTTTTTTTTTTTTTAAATCCTGGAATTAAATGTGTGTTCAATTGTTTGTTATCATTCTGGAACGTCTTGTTTCAAATAAGAAAAAATAAAAGTGAAAGGGGAAATTCAATCCGATATTAATAAAAACAAAAAAAATAAATAAATAAATAAATTTAAAAAATAAAATAATAATAATAATATAAAATTTTCTGGAGAAAGTAGAAATACTAAAAAAAAAAAAATAAAATTATTTAATTTCTCCGTAATATGAAATCATGTAAGAAAATTCAGGCTTGAAATCGACCGGTGATAAGAAAAAACCCCCCAAAGAATTTTATCAATCAATAACTCGTTTATGTACATTTTTATTTTAAAAATAAATAAATAATCGATAATAAAAAAAAAATGGCGGCCGAAGAAATTTATTCAAAAAAAAAAAATAGTAATAGTAAATTTTTTTTTTTTTTTTAACTGGAATCTTCTCCGCGTACTTGACCCGATTTTATGTCAATTTGACCTTTGAACGGTTGAAAAAAATTTTATTGTTATAATTGACCTCGCTTGAAAGAAAATAAAAATAAAAATAAAAAGTTTTTTTTTTTTTTTTAATGGCCAGACATGACTTGAAAATTAAATTTTTTTTTTTTATCACCGACTTTTTGTCAATGTTATGGATAATATGGCGTTAGCATTAAAATAAAAAACCTGATAAATAAGTTAATGATAATCAAATAAATAAAAATCTATTGGATATACATTAATAAGTTTATTTTATATAATGATAATAATTATTTTAAATTGTTTGGTGACAATATAAATGGGTAAAAATCTCTCTTCTGAGTGAGTTCTTGGGTAGAACAACTTGTGGAGTTATTAATTTGTAGGAGTACCTGACAAAAGATTCAAAACCCATCCCAATATCAGTGTAGCCAATATAGATAAACCAAAAAGTTACCAATGAAGAGGCCAATGAAGAGTGGTTGTCAGTATAATTAAAGAGTAAGTGTTAACCTAAAATCTTACTTAATAATTGCATAATTGACACCATGTGTTATCATAATACATATGATAAACATAGTCATGAATATAACAAATATTAGCTTGAGATTAGGTTAGGATTCTGAGGAGAACAACAAAAAGCTTAAAACAACTAAATGAAAATTTATTTTAAATTGTAATGTTGCCCTTGATCTTTCTGTCTCCAGAAAAGAATAAATACTCATTCTTTACAGATTTATCAACTCTAGAATCATTGTAAGAACAAAGGAACAAGTTTTTTAAAAATTGAAATGATTTAAAATCAAAATTAATATAACTACATCAGGGTGAAAAACAAAATGGAGTTTAAATAATTGTTAATCCATAATAGACTTTTTTCAAAAACTGGAGAAATTAATAATTAAAAAGAAAAAGAAAAAGAAATGAATTTTTGAATAAAATTGAATTCATTTTGACCAAAAACAATGAGGAGGTAACACAAAGTACAGGTATTGACTTACCTACCTGAATTTAACAGGGATTTTGGGTTTGCAAGCACTAGACATTATACAGAAACTAAACCTGTACACAAAGACTTGGAAGGGTTACAGAACACGAGACCTAGTAAATGTTTTCCTACAAATTCTGCCCTAATTTTTATCATAATAGCCATTAAATACAAAATAATTAAACGAATGAGTTTCACAACTTACAACTAAGGTCAACACTTCACTCCCAAACTGCACTTAACATCATCATTATTATTATTTTTAGGCACACACATTAAAAACAATGAATTTTAACCTTAATTCCGATAGATTGATGGTTTAATTTACCAAAAATCCATCTTAAAAAAAAAAAAAAAAAAAAAAAACAAAAATCACATTTTCCCAATTATCCTAACTACCTGTTTCACTTTAAAAGAAGAAAAAACACTGAGTGCAAACACGCTTAGGAAAAAAAAAACCCGCGAAATTAACAACAAATATTTGGTTGCCATGGAAACCGTTTTATTTACCGCGTTACAAATAATTTAAAAAAAAAAAAAATTATATAAACGTTGTAACGGAAATGAAATAATACAATGCGACGTTGTCATTTATTTTTAAAAAAATTTTTATTAATAAGAAAGCAGTGAAAGTTATTATTATTATGCGACATTTCACGTGGGACTCATTAAAAAAAAAAAAAAAAAAAATTTAATTAATCACAAAAAAGACGTAACGAAAAAAAGAAAAATTAAATTCTTATTATTCGAAATAATAAATGAACAACAAAAGAGAAAGAAAGAGTGAGAGAGAAAGATGGAACACGATCGAAATGTTCGTTACTTTTACTCTCGATTGAAAAATGATAACTTATCATAATAAGTATATACTTAATTTAATTTAATTTTTAACAATAAAAAAACTAAAACTATGAATTATTTTATTTATAAACATTTAAATAATAATAATAATTTAATAACTTACCAGTTTCCGAATGTAAAAATAATAAAAA